TGGGGGCCGGGGGGGTGGCGTTGGCGGTGTCTCTGGACATCGTCAACGCATTTTACATCCTCCCGTGGCCAAAGGTGGAGGCACTCCAACGACACGGAGTGCTGAAATACTTATCGGCAATCATCGCCGATTATTTCAGGGATAGGGTACTGGAATTCCGCTGCAAAGGGGGATTCTGGTGCAGCAGAGAGGTGCGATGCGGTATTCCACAGGGGTCCATACTTGATCCCCTCCTGTGGAACATCGCATACGACGTGGTCCTCGGCGCGGCGCTTCCCCTGGCTGCCACGTGATGTGTTACGCCGACGACACCCTTGTGGTGGCCGGGGGCCGGGACTGGGATTCGGCGGTGTCGAGCGCGAGTCTCGCGGTGGAGTGCGTGCTGCGCTCCATTGAGAGACTGGGGCTAAAGGTATCCCCCCGCAAGACGGAGGCGATGTTCTTCCACAGCGTGGGGGGGGGGGGTGCCTCCGGCCTCGGTCAGGATAGGTTCGGCCTGCATCAAGGCTGAAATACATGGGTCTCACCCTCGACGGACATTAGGAGTTCGGCGGTCACTTCGACCTGCTGGCTCCCAGGCTGTCCAAGCAGGCCGACGCGTTGGCCGGTCTGATGCTGAACCTCAGCGGACGAGGGGATCGACCCACCGCGCCTATGCGTACATCGTCCTCGCTGGACTCCTATATGGAGCCCCCGTTTGGTCGGAGGATGCGGCGACCAACAGCCGCATCAAGATGACGGTGTGCCAGGTACAGCGAAGGCTGTCCCAGCGCATCGTCCGCGCGTACAGGACGGTGTCGCATAACGCGACGACGGTGTTGGCGGGCGTGCCGCCCGCGAGAGGACGGGCCGAGGTGTACTGATAGGTCGCCGTGGCCCGTCTAGAGGGGCGCGTATTAGCGCACCGTGAGATCGAGGCCTACAAAACGATGGCACAAAAATGGGTGTTCGCGGAGTGGCGCGCCCGCTTGGAGAAAGCAGAGCACGGGGCCTGGACCGTCGGGGCCGTCAGGCCGTGCCTCGAGGAGTGGGCTGGTAGAAGGTGGGGCGAACTCACCTACCAGCTCACGCAGGTGCTCACCGGATGTTTCGGTGAGTACCTGCACCGTATAGGGAAGGAGCGCAGCCCACACTGCCACCATTGTGACGCGGACGAGGACACCGCGCAGCATACCATTGCGGAGTGCTCCGCGTGGGATGCGGAGCGCGATGTCCTCGTCCAACAGGTAGGAGGAGATCTCTCTCTGCCGGCACTCATTCGCGAGATGTTGCGGAGAGAGGCCTCCTGGAAGGCGGCCTCCGGCTTCTGCGAGCGCGTGATGCTGCAGAAGGAGGAGGCCGAATGGGGTAGGGA